GTTTTTCTACTCTATGTTAACAATAATAAATAAATAAAAACAAATTTAATCAGTCAAAACATTTCAATCCGTTTTGTACACAACGCAAATCAGCATAATATGCACGTTTCACAATTATTATGAAATCTGATTTATTACTTCCCGTAATCAATCTGAGTTCAATTATCTTTCAATCAACTCAACTTGTTTTAAGTATACATATTTATATTATCAGTATTTTTATTTGTAACAACCAAATAGTCTAGAGTAGTTTGTTAAACGCGCTCAATCTCTAATTGGAGTTAAGTGGCTATCGGGCACTCCAGCTTAATGACGTCATCAATCATGAGAAAAATTGACAGTTTTATGTTTTTTGGATTAGAGAGTTTTACGGAAAATATTCTACCCATGCGATACCCATTTAATAAACTTGAATCGTCCTTGACCACGAAAGCTGTGTAGTATTCGAAAAGTCTGAAAGAATGTAATGTCGATCGGAAAATGTGAGATTATACTGTGGAAATCGTTTTAATTGAGTCTACAATAGCTAAAAACCGATGCAATTTCTACATTTTATAAATTGTTAATGTTTTCAAGCGTTTTTTAATGTCACCAATCTCATTAGTTATTCCATTGTTTGCAGCTACCTTTTCAATTATCGACTTCCGAGTTTGGTGAGCAATCTCTGGGAAATGCACTTGTTATGCTATTGTTATTGTGATATTAAGAAAATTAATTCTATTGAAATTACCAATAAAATTTATTTACTAATATTACTCAGCAGTCATTGTATTTGGTTAAGACTAGTATGATGTGTAAACTTTAAATGTTGTACGTAAGTATTTTATCACCTTTTATTTAAAATTTTCCTTCTCAAGACTTTGAGATAAACAAAAACGTGCAATCCTCTGTTCATATCATGTAGTAAGAAAATTTTAAAATATTGTGCAACTAAAAACGCGTTTGTTCTTTATTGGTATGTTGCATTTTGCATATAAACCAGATTGGGAACGAATTACGGTGTTTTTTTAATTTTTTTCAAGTGCTTAATAATCTAAAGTTATAGTTTTTTTTCTCTAACTTTTCTAACTCACAATATTTTACTCTTAGCTTTAGCTAGTGGTTTTCAAATAGTGATTGCTCCATTAACTTTGATAGAATTGGAATAGGTCTCCGGTACATTTTACCCAATGTCAGGGAACATTAAAACCGGAATCTCTTTCCTCATTTCTCACCACTAACCAAAGGGCTCCATCATTGAATTAATTTCTTCAAACTTACGAAAACGCTCCGAAATTTTAGTTTTGTCGGTACTTATATTACCCTCCAGAAACGTTATGCATAGTATTGGGCTGATAAAATCTACTAATAGCTAGGTAACAGCAAGTCAAGCTTCCGCTCCGCAAGTTCGGCAATTACTCATGAATTTTAAGTATCACTTATTTTGTAAATCATTATAGATGGGTAAATTCGACATCTCTTGATTGAATATAATTATACATATCGTCCAGCTTTTGTGTACTATGTAATTGGTTTTAGATGACCGACTGATTAATCACGTGGCCTTTGGTTTTAATATTATTTGAAGTTGACAGAACTGGTTCCGTATAGGTCACTTTGGTTCATAGTTTAGAAATAGCTATGACTGCCTAATACTAGTTTTAGTGCTTGTCGTCTATGTAATATTATGGTAATGTCTAAATTAAATTCTAATAATGAAAAAGGTCTACCTACTATTCTACACGAACCTTTTAAACAAATGAATGACAAACTTTTTTTTTTAAAAATAATTCTATTAAAAAAAAATAAAGAGGTTAAAAAATTAGACGTATTTTTTTTTAGAATGTATTTCTGATTCCGATTTCTGTGCCGTTACATAACCGACTGACTAAAAAGTCTGAATAAATACAATTTTATTTTCGATGATGGGTAAGATTACACCCCATCAAACCATAATTGAAGTTGAATACTGCATATATTGTATACTCCTGAATTTATGAGAACCTTTTTCAATTAAAACTTCTCAACAATTCAGGAGCATTAAAGATTAATTCGGTCATTATGTAAGCATAAAGACCGAATTAATGTTAAAAAGTTAAAATGTTGATCAATAATTAAAAAACTTGCACGTACAGCCTAGTGTTTCTTATTGTCTAACTGAATATATAAAGGGGAGATAAATAATATTTGAAGTGTGAAGAAAAAATTATACTCGGATGATTTTCCTCAATGACCAAACAATAGCAGATTTGGATGATTTTCCGTAAAGTTACTTTATAAGTTGAACGGTTATTATTTCCTATAATAAATATGATAGTGTGTTCGCTTTTCCGGTAATAAGGAATCTACAAATCAGATCATGGTATGTGAACCAGATAATAACACAAGCAACTCTTTATCCTGGAAAAGGCAGCGTGTGTTATTATTCTTTAATTAGAAATTTAGTGCAGCTGAAACCATCGGGCACGTGTTGTAAATCCATACGAAAAAAATAGTTAAGACTTTGTATTGTGTGTATGTGGGGCACATGTGCAATACAAGAATGACATTAGTTATGGAGGATTACTTTGTGTACGAAGAGCATAAGCACGCGGAACCCCCCGAGCGCGAATCTTACTCGCACTTGTCCGATATTTTTCTAGTAAAATTATTTATGGTCAGACTGTTTTTTTTTATTGCTTAGATGGGTGGACGAGCTCACAGCCCACCTGATGCTAAGTAGTTACTGGAGCCCATAGACATACACAACGTATATACGCCACCCACCTTGAGATATAAGTTCTAAGGTCTCAAGTAAGTTACAACGGCTGCCCCACCCTTCAAACCGAAACGCATTACTGGTTCACGGCAGAAATAGGCAGCGTGGTGGTACCCACCCGCGCGGACTCACAAGAGGTCCTACTACCAGTGAAAATGGACTTCTTAATCAAGTTTCATTACAGGTCAAGTCCTGTTTTGTTTTATAATAGTCAGCGTTTGGTCGTGCATTAAACTGCTTTCACTCTTTAGGAAATGTAGACGTGTACCTTGTATTGTGAAACACGAAAATATCCATAGCGCTCGGAACTAAAGATTCAGTTATGTCACGTGCGCCTTGCGAATACAGTGTCGTGAATTTGAGACTGGACAATAATGAAATAACTTATCGTGAGGCTTGCTCGAATTCTGATATTGTTTTGTAGTTTTTGATGCCTTTATAAAGGCATCCGATACGCTTAGATTTTTCAATAATATTTTTCAATATAGATTGGCTTGGAGAAGTTAACTAATCGAAAAAGAATATACATATAATTATAGCTATCTATATACTGAAGTTTGTTATGCAATCTAGGCTATACAGTGTATCCTAGTAGCTCTAGCAACGGTCTAAAAAAGAAACGCTATATTGATAGTACAATATTTACCTAATAAAGACAGGTCTTAAATAATATCTTATGAAACATTGTTATGAAATTTATGAAATGTTTAGCAAGTTTACATTTTGTAGTTCAAAAACTATGATGAAGACACTGAGTGCTCGCATCCTGGCGTCAAACGAGACTATATAGTTTAATGTATAGTTAGAAAATAATAATATAATGAACTGGTTACTAATATAATAATAAATAATATAATAATAAAATAATTAACTTTATACCTGTGGTAGGACCTCTTGTGAGTCCGCGCGGGTAGGTATCACCACCCTGCCTATTTCTGCTGTGAGGCAGTAATTCGTTTGGGTTTGAATGGTGGGGCAGCCGTTGTAGCTATACTTGAGACCTTAGGACTTATATCTCAAGGTGGGTGGCGCATTTACGTAGTATATGTCTATGGGCTCTAGTCACCACTTAACACCAGGTGGGCCGTGAGCTCGTCCACCCAACTAAGCAATAAAAAATCATCTTTATTCGTTATAATGTGAGACAATACTACTGTTTCTCATGTTCGTATTGGAATGACCGACAGCACCGTTCAAAACGTAATATCGTTCACGTATGTTTAACCTCGTTATTTGGTCAATGATCGTTTCTCAATGGCAGCGACCTACATAGTCGTCAATCGTCCTTTCATTAAAAACGTCTTGGAAGTGAAATCTTTGGTCTTATTATATTCATACGTCGATAAAAGAATACGCTGGAAGTCCTTGACACGTGCGCCAGCTGATAAATTGTTAGATTACCATTTAAATCGTATTTTACAATAGTTTCTTACAACCTGCTGCATGAGATATTAAGAAAGCGCTATGACAGGTCTCGTTATGCCTATCAGCGGTTACGTCATCAGAAATAATAACTCAAGTATTACAATATGTACATTCTTTTATATACACTCCCAAATACGTACTGGACGTCACAACGCGGTTGTTTCATTCTATTGTAATGAGGTGTACGAAAACAATAAAATTGTTAATGTATTGCATATTCATTGTTATATTGTAGCTGCAGTTGCCAGTTGAAGTATAGGGACAATCGTTTCATAAATAATGTTGATTCGAATGGATGTATTTTAATAAGCTTTTATTAGCTTCATTAGTATGTAACGGAATCTTTGAACATTATTTTGACCCCCTACAAAACGTCTGATTAACTCGAAAATTGGTATACTTATTGAGGACCGATGAAAAATTTAAATTCAACTAAAAATGAAAAATAAATAATAGTTTAAAAAAACTAACAAAATACGCTTTTATAGAAAACCCAACTAAAAAATAGAAAAATATTTTTAATAAATTTGAATTAAAAATAGTGTAAGAAAAAAATATTTTATTATAAAAAAAAGCGTGGGGTGCATGGTATCACTAGTTATAAATATTTTATGAACAGATATGAGTAGAAGGGTTATTTTGATGATACCTGAAAAGCACTCCACGATTTCTTACAATAAAATATTTTTTTCTTACACTATTTTTAATTAAAATTTATTAAAACTTAATTTTCTATTTTTTAGTTGGATTTTCTATAGAAGCGTGTTTTGTTTATGAACAATCAAAGGCTTGGAATTTCAAAGATATTATTTGACTAAACTAGCTACTAACCGCTAAATATTAAACATATTAGAATTATCAATTCAAAAGTCCGTTTTCGTCTAATTCTTTGCAAATTTGCTGATTTTTTGCATAATAACAACGGTATGTTTTTCCGCCTGGGGGCTCGTATCTTTTAGAGGCTCTACGTGTGAATGACACCCGACCGCTGTATCCGCACCACGCTCCCATACATTTCGGTTTCAGTAACACAACGTAAGGACCTGTTTTCATAATTATTTCATCGACAGACTTGAATTTCTTCAAACGAATACCGCCAGGATACGGAACGTTCAGATTAAGGTCACAGTTAATAATTCTATTACGATCTTCCTCGCAGATAAACTCGTCCTCCGAATAAACATTGGGCGCATCTCGCCTTGCTATAGTCCCAAAATCGACTAACTCTGAATATGAATCAACACCGTCCTTCATAAGGCACACGCGCCTACCGTCTGAGTAATGTAAACAATCGACATTGTAAAACATTTTGTTGCGTATGATACTCGATAAGAACAATATTTTGTCCACGTTTTTCAAATAACCGTAACGTATGGTTTCGCAAACGTATTCTTCGTTATGAGTAAAACAAGCCTTCAAGTCTTGGTTAGGAGTCAACTGAGTTAAAGATCGAATTATAATCGGTTTACATTCTAATGAAGAGCACTTGTAAACGATCGCTGTTGATCTTGGTATGTACGGATCGTATGATGGTATATTATTGTTTATGTCATTTCCACGTCTTCTGTTTGGCCTCTCGACGGTTTTACAAAGCGGTTCTTGACCCTGAAATTTTATGGTTGGCTTTGTAGACTATTTGTTACTATGTGATCTAGTTTGTCCACTCATAGTAGGACGTATTTTAAGTGCGTACGGGTAGATACCGTAATTTTGCGTGTTCGTTCCCAATTATTTACACTTTCCGGTTTGAAAGACAGGCACACTATTATATAATTATGAACGAGGGCTTCGCCCCCAACGTCTACCTATATTGGAGTGTCTATAGTTTCATAACGACCGATGTTATGTACTAATATATTGAATTGTAAATAGATGCAGTTTTGTGTACTAAGATGGCATATCAATATAAATTAGTATTAAAATTTCCGGGGTTGAAATCTATTACATTGAGATTTGATTTACATTCTGTTTGAAGAATGATTGAGGCGAGATGAAGAATAATTTGAGAAAAATAAAAGAATAAGAAAATACCTGATCTTTAATGCAAACAACGTCTTTATTGTAGTGCTGAAAGATTAAGGATTGTTTAAATATAAGTCAAAAAACAATTATTTACCTCAAACAAAAGCTCCTAAAGTAATGAACTTTAGGACACATGTGCTTTCATTAAGCACATACATGTGCTTAATGAAAGCACATGTACCTTTACAGCGATTCATTTAAATAAGCACATAAAGAAGTCTAGTTTTCGCCGACATGAGGATCTAGATAGAGAGCTCTGTTTTCTCTCAAAATAAGAATCTAAACTTTTAATTTTATTTTATTGCTTAGATGGGTGGACGAGCTCATCCACCCATCTAAGCAATAAAAAAAAATCACAGCCTACCTGGTGTTAAGTGGTTACTAGAGCCCATAGAAATCTACAACGTAAATGCGCCATCCACCTGAGTTATAAGTTCTAAGGTCTCAGTATAGTTACAACGGCTGCCCCACCCTTCAACGCATTACTACTTCACGGCATTACTGCTTCACGGCAGAAATAGGCAGAGTGGTGGTACCTACCCGCGCGGACTCACAAGACGTCCTACCGCCAGTAAATCCTAACTATTAATTCTAAATCATCCTAAACTATTTCATTTTTATAATAAGTTCATTTTCAGTTTTAAAAATAATCAAACAACTCGTATTTTATTATATTATAACACCGGTGCGCGTATTAGTCCAACGCGTTCATAAGCCGCCCGTTCGTTTGTCTTTGAAAAACTGATTAGCAGCAATATTTGCGTAGATCTCTTTTGTCCTGTCTTTGTTATTGCTTAATGCAACTCACCGAGTGGGTGCCGCAAAAGTACAAAACGATGACTAAACATAAAAAAGTGAAATTCATGTTAGTATTACGTCACGTACATGAAAGAAACGAACAAGCAACGAGGAGGAAGTCAATGCGATGTATAATGTTTTAACTATCCGGTTCATTGAGCATTAATGGACGGATAAATTGAAAAGGTTTCAGTACCGATAACAAATTGATTTTACTTCTCAAACACACCTAGTTTGATAGTTAAATTTTTGTGTTATTTTTGCTGTACATAACAAAACTTTTTTTTTTATCAATAACTCATTGCATATATTATCGTAGTGTTTCTAAATTTTAAATTTAATTCTTAAGTGAAATTTTGTATTCGAATGTTCAACAATTTTGTATTGTTAATCAGGAAATGTTATAAATAGTATTTGGTTTTTATTTTGTTGGTAACTTATAAATAAATATAATAGGAAAAATCAATGGCTCTAAGCCAAGATTTTCCCCTATATTGTAGGTACCGAAAATATTTAATGCATGAGACAAAGACATACTATCAGGGATACTATCAATAAAACAAATTTGGAAAGATGTAAAAATCCAATTCCGTTTCTCAGCTCTATCCGAATTAGGTACTCACCAACACTAGAAGTTCTTGTCTAAGCATTTTTCATCACAAACTTAGGGATTATCTGCGAAAGAAAATTGTAATATTAAAAATTTGAACTAATTTCAAATAACGCTGAGAACTGAGTCTGTATTAATGACATAGCTTAGCAAATTACGAGTAGGTATGTACTCAACGAATCACAACGTTAGCATAGCAACTAAAATAGAGTTGCTGATAGATACAAAAAATAATGAATATGTTGAATCCGATTTACAATCAAATCAGTTCGTTGTTACAATCATAGCGATATGTTCTAAGGAAAATAATTTTAATTTGGTGCGTGATCAATTGCTGTTGATTCGACAAGGTTATTTATGATCAATTATGTGTGGGCGCTCGTCAATGCTCTTGGCGAGTGGTTACCACCATACAGGAAACCAGTGGTATGACATGTAATATTACGTGCCAAACATAACTATTAAAACGCGATTTTTCTTGAAAAAAAAATTGATTAAATGAACGTGATACCACAGAGTTGACTGAGAGTACTTCGTTTGGTATCAAATTTGATTTAAGTATTCCGTGATTTTGGCATTTAACACTATACCAGTTCTTCTTCTCATTTTTTTAAGTATGGCAATTGGCTTCCTGCGGTCATTGTTGCCAGTGTCGAGGTTATAAAAATCTTCAACTATTAAATACAAATACATATTCTGTTATATGAAGCGAAGTGAGACGAAGAGAAATAATTGGAAACTATAATCAATTCGAATGAAATTAAATGAAACCAGATGAGAAATAAAGTTTCAGTAAAATGGTGGCTGTTTACTGAAATTATTATAGTTGACTTTTTGGAAGAAGACTTTTGGTGAAGGTTCAGTTCATTTTCCCACATTTGTGTACTTTCACAGATGAAAAATAGTTAACCACCGTTATTACTAATTTAAACCTGAAGAAACACTAAATTAACGAAATAAAACAATTCACATAATTTCATTCCTCGCGTTTCCGTCAAACAGTCCTACAGTTTTAGCGGTAGGCAGCGGCTTGGCTCTGCCCCTGGCATTGCTGAAGTCCATGGGCGACGGTAACCACTCACCATCAGGTGGGCCGTATGCTCGTCTGCCTACAAGGGCAATAATAAAAAAAAAAAAAAGTCCATAAAACCAGTTTTTTTTTATTGCTCTTGTTAGGGTTAGTTAGGGGGTATTAATTAATTAAGCACAATTTAGGTTATGTTAAATATTTGCTTTAACTTTACGCTTTGCTCTGTAATAAAAGACGCAGCCCCCTATTTTTTTTATATTACGTAAGAATCGTTATTACTAATTTCCTTTCCGAGAAATGTTTAATTTTCCTCAGTTTCCTTTAGTAGTTGTAATTCAGAGTCTACTTCTAGTAATTTTGTTTTTCATTCTTAAAATACCAATAGAACTATGTTATATTTATTTTTCATTCTAAATGACAATTAGCTAATTGAAGCATTGAGGTATTTACATACATATTTACAGCTTTGTTTATTATTATTAATCTATCGTTTTACATTGCAAGGATATAGATTTTAAAATGCAATTACTAATTGGCCGCATGAATTTTATACCTTGGAAAAAAGGACTACTGATATACCTGGGTGTGCTTATTTCGTGTAGGAGTTTTTTTTAGGTTTATTTTAAATACGCGCGATATTATGGATCGTGTGATAACCATGTGTAATGCATGTTACCTTCATCATTTTGTGACATTGAAACGTCAATTGTTGACAGTCTAATGCTTGAGCAAATTATAAATTGGCTAGGTAGGCGTTCCGACTATGTTTCATGAAAACGTGTTCTACATTAATTCACGTTTAAAATAAAAGTTAATTTATAGTTTGTTATAATTTATGAATAGTGTTTTATTCCGAATTTGAGATGCGTTTCAAAATTGTTATAATTGTAATACTGTGATTAACATTTATTGGTTCAAGACAGAGGAGTTCGCGATCAGCCCGCTGTAAAGTGGTTATTGAATGAATCAATGAATGAATGATTTGAGTGAATGAATAAATGATTTATTTTATTTCAGACAACAACAAGTCATTGGAGCTCATGCACTTCAAATATTGAAATTTCAATTGCATTTGAATAATAGTTACACTGAATCGGAGCGCACGACTTTGTCCCGTTGGAAAAAAGCACAACGTAGCACCCACAACTAAAAGTTACGCAAATTTATAAATTTTTATTTTATTGCACGTTCTTTAATTCCGTCACTGTGGAAGTCATTCGTGCCGGATTGCAAACCCACAACCTAAACCGGTGGAGCTATAAACTTAAAAAGTGGAAAGAATATTGCTTGAGTTCCTGCCTACACCGATGGAAGAAATGTTCTTTTCGAGAAAAAAATTTTGGCTTTACCTGGATATTTAAAAAAAATATTGAAAATGTTCGTGAAAGTAGACGACTAAAACAAAAGCCATCGCAATAGATTAACACAATTTTATAACACTGACATCACATTCACACACACAACGGAATGAATATTTATTTTGATATTCCGCATGTCCAGACTGGACTTACTATAGAAAGTGTTAGTACAATGGGACATTGAACGATAGTGAAAATGGTCGCGTTCCACGCATAACAAATAGGTATTTTATAATGATTCAGGAAAGGAACGTGATCGACAGCGGTCCGTAATAATGCTACCATATCTATACAACACCAAAGGGAAATGTTTATGTAAATTACACGGTGTTACATAATTAGCGGGATCGTTAAGGAATTGGCACACGGGCTAATCAATAACTTAGGTTGGTACGCGTGTACTATATTGTTAAAATGTTAGTCTTCTTCTTTTTCTCCACCTTATCCCACTAGGTGGGGTCGTCACAGCTAATTTTTCTCTTCCATTCTCTTCTATCAGCCGTCATCTCAACACTCACTCCTCTCTCTCTCATATCGTCATTCACACACTCCATCCATGTCTTCTTCGGTCGACCTCTTCCCCCTCTACCTTGCACTACCATTTCCATACATCTCCTAGTCACATGCATCTTCTCTCTACGCATCACATGTCCATACCACGCTAACCGTCCGCTCCTTAATTTGTTGTTTACCGGGGCCACTTTCACACTTCCTCTGATATACTCATTCTTTATCTTATCCATTCTTGTCACTCCACACATCCATCTCAACATTCGCATCTCTGCCGCATGCACTCCTCTTTCATGCTTAACTTTCGTCGCCCAACACTCAGATCCATACAGCACGACAAAATGTTAGCATTAAGCAGAATTTTACTGTTTTAAAATTCAATTTCAAAAACGTTAATACTATTATAATTAAAGTCGATATACCTAAGGTTTTGTAGTTACCTACAATACCGGAAATACAAATGAGCTATTCGATATTTTGCGTAAGATACTATAGTTGTGGTTTGCCATTTGCTATTGATTTCAGTTATGCTGTATTATCTTGATCATAGATTAATTGTATCACTCAGTCTCTGCGTACTGAAGATGAGATGGTTATTTCAATATTTTTAAATGGAAGTTGATGCAAAATATTGTTGGTCATCGAAATAAAAGCAAGTACTTCCATCCGAATATTAGATATATTAAAAAAAGAAAAACCAAAAAAAAATTAAAGCTATAATATCTGTTTTATGTCGTATCATTGATTTTCAACTAACTTAAACAGTATTTGAGTATTTATAAGCAGTATTGAGTATTTATAAGTATTTATATATTCTAGATTTAATAAAATAAAATAAAAACAGTATAATATTATAGCACGTGTGAAATGATGATGTTATTCATTAAGAATTTATCCTTTTAGAAAGAAACTCGAATCTCGATAAACAGTAGAATTTTTTTGCTACAAAAACATGTTGACTAGTGCGACAACTAAATGCAATGATGTCATTCAGAGCGAGAGGTCACAGATATTTTATTAGAAATACATTAATTGCATTCGTCTAAATTTATTATTAGTGTAAGTTAGTAGGTCTTTGATTTATACGAATAATATAATAAATAAATATTTACTAACAATCACGCCACGTTAACTTGTCCCGTGATAAGTTCGTAAAGAACTTGTGTTACAGGTACCAGATAACGGAAATAAATGTAAGATTTTTATTATACACGTACATATATTTAATATACATCCATAACCCTGGAAAGATATTTATATTTATCATACAAATACGCTTGGCGGGATTAGAACCTGCGACCCCCTTGTGTAATGACCATGTCCTTTACCACTACACCAGACGAAGGCTTGAACCTTTGCAAATTTTAATATAATTCCAGTTTATTCATGGTTCGTAATGCTATTCTAAAGTAATGAACACACTTTTAGATTAACGGAAGCTATTCCTTTGAATTAAAAGTGGTTACTTAATTTCTTAGTCTGTTTAATGTGGAAGCAACGGACCGAACAATCAGTGAAAACGTAACAAATGAAAATTTTAAACATAATAATAATATGTAGATCGCTTACGTTTTTTTTTTTTGTTGCTATATGGGTGGACGAGCTCACAGCCCACCTGGTGTTAAGTGGTTACTGGAGCCCATAGACATCTACGACGTAAATGCGCCACCCACCTTGAGATATAAGTTCTAAGGTCTCAAGTATAGTTACAACGGCTGCCCCACCCTTCAAACCGAAACGCATTATTGCTTCACGGTAGAAATAGGCAGGGCGGTGGTACCTACCCGCACGGATTCACAAGAGTTCCTACCACCAGTTTCTTATAAGCATTCTAAGGTTAATAAGTTGATTTAAAGTTTCGCATATCCGATAACGAGGGAATCACCTATAAGGCCATAGTCTAATAGTCAAAATACCAGATGTTGGTTCGGTTTGAAGGGTAGGGCAGCCGTTGTAACTATACTGAGACCTTAGAACTTATATCTCAAGGTGGGTGGCGCATTTACGTTGTAGATGTCTATGGGCTCCAGTAACCACTTAACACCAGGTGGGCTGTGAGCTCGTCCACCCATCTAAGCTATAAAAAAAAAAGTTGTATTCTATATCCAACTAAAGACTTGTATAAAACTTATTCTCGAAGGATTTACGGGAAAATATTAAATTTGCTTAATTACTGGTGATTTGCTCAATATACAACCTATTGTAATTGAAGACGTTTTAATTCCGCCATCTCTTTTGTTATTGCCATCAAGTAGTTTTATGTTCCAATTTGAATGATACAACCGTGATTCAACATAATTGATACTTCGAACCCATGCTTTCGGGTTAAATATATTCTTTATTCTCAAAAGAATTACATAAATTCACTTAAATGAGAACATTAAAATAGTTATAATTAATTCAGATCGTGCAGTACATGACAATAATTTATAGTTTTTTTTTTTATGATTGAAGGATTACTGGTGGCCCGAAGGCCTTTCCAGTTTCACCAGGACAGGTGGGCGAGTAAACGCTCAGCCAGGAGGGGTGGGGTTTTTCTAACAGCTACCCGAGCGCCTCCGAAGGAGACCTAACAGCTCAAGAGCAGCAATAGTAGATACATTCGCGAAGCAGCTGCTCTTGAGCTGTTAGGTCTGCGGTGCTGTGACAATTATTTACACAAAACTATAAAGATTATTTTCTTAAAATATATAAACGGGGTAGATTACCACAGAAGCGAGGTAAGTACAACGATGCTTTAAGGTAGTTAATTAAATTTATGTTTTGAGTTAATGAGCTTTGCTAAACACTGAATATCAGACAACGGCAAGGTAACCTGCCTATTTAAAGAACTAGAAAAGAGATTACACTCGATCTTTCTGTCACGTATCTATATTTTCGGAATTTACTCACCGAAAACTTAAAATGGTTACATTGAAAGAGTAAAGTTCTCCAATCGTAGGTTTATAGAGTAAAGAGATAAGATAGGGTTGTGGGGGACTGTAAAAAAAGGTAAAAGAAACTTAGTGCGCACATGAGGCACTATATCTTTAGTTGAAATTGCAATTGCCTAATAGGCATTGCAATAATTCATCAAAATCAAGCATTTCGCTCCTTATCTCTGAAACTTTACTAAGCATAGGTACAGTACAAACAAAAACTGAGAATATTTGTACGGTCTCACTCACTCATAATTTACAAAAAAATATTTTCATGATTGAAGTTTTTTGTCAAACTTCTCTTAAAATCCTTTGATTGTTATTTTCGGGAAAACGCGGTAAAAATCGTTTAACAATTTAGTTGGAGTTAGTCTAGGTACGTCTAATTACACATTACTTAAATAACAACTTACAAAAAATTCTAATCTCATTCAATGAAAACAACATTCGTTTTGGCATTTGAATTACATTATTCTGTGATTAATGATGGTGTTCGCAATACAAAGGACTAAATTAGGCGCTATGTCATTTAATTACAGATTATACAATGAATGTCAGTTAATTTCAAATCAATAGGATTAGTGTTGGGACTAGCAGAAGAAGGAAAAATTAGGGAGAATTATGTGTTCTCTTGTCGGAGGTTTAGATGTAATTCGGGTTACTAGTCTAGACGCGCAAGTCGGTTATATGGTAGGCAGCGGTTTGGCCTTGCCCCTGGCATTCCCCATGGCTCATTGGTAATCACTCACCATCAGGTGGGCCATATACTCGTCTGCCTACAAGGGCTATAAAAAAAAGTCAGTAAATCTTAGCGTCATGGCTATTCGTGATGTAAATGTTCTTACATAGTCTTCACAACTAGTGATTCATTTTTTAAATCATTGCTAGTGTACCAGTGCATGTTAGATTTTATGTTAGTGTTCTTTTATTTCAAAAGTATTAAGCAACTTGATATCGCTCAAATGTAAAAGTGCATTTTGGCCACTCCCATTTGCCCGTTTGATCGGATCTGCTATTTAATTTATCATGTATTTTAATTTGCATAGGTCAAGTTAATGCTATATGTAGATTATTTTTAAGTTTAGAAGTGTTAGATATTTATTTAAATGTACGTGATGAACTTACTTCTAGAGCCTGACTTTGTTCAAGTCTAAAAATAAAGACTTATTATTTTTTAATTTTATTCACCGACTTTTGTTTTTGAAGTTATAGAAAGTAGAACTAACACTCCTTTTGTAAACAAACAAAGTACATTCACACCATGTTAAAGAGAATCGTTACAATGGAAACGAGTTGCGTCCTCAATACTTCCATTTAAATAAATTGGTAAAAGTTTTAAATACTAGGAGACAAAACTTCGAGTTCGCGATCGCATTGAATGTAAAATATGTAGTGAGTAGCGCGTGTTGCGCACGCGCTGACTTTGCTACGACTGGTTGCGTTACGGTTTCCCGCCAAAAGCACCCACTGATAGTTCTCCGCAATTTGCAAGGATTCATTCATAAATACAAAGGTTGGAAATTTTTTTGTGAACCAAACGTAACTGTTGTCCATTCGTCCGTTAAATGCTTACTGAAAACTATTGATACGAATAACTGAGGATAGAATTAGAGTTACATTGAATACGCAATGCATAAAAATTTAGAACACCATAATATAACAACATTTTATGACATTGGTTTGGCCAAACGATTTTTGAATCTCTTGAATTGGGAAAGCATTTTTAACTGGACACGGATTACTGCTAACTGGTTTGTGTGTTCTTCGAAAAGCGTTAATGAAACAAATATTTATGTTTTCGTCCTGCCTGTCTAACCGTGTTTGATCACCTGATGATATGACATCATAGGAACTGACAAGAGATTATATTAGTATGTAGTTTCTTGCAGACTGTACTTAAATCAGAATCTCCGGCTTCTTAATATCAATATTCATCACAGAGACTCACATGGATAGTATAACAATCGCTGCTTCATGTTTTTTTTGTTTTCTATTTGAATTGAATTGAAGACTTCAAGTAGATGGCCTACGTCACGGCTTACTAACACGGTTTTAATAAAATTCCTTTAAGTACAAGTCTATTAAGTCATAGTTTTGTTAGTGATAGCGCCATCTACTATAATTAATATAAACCATTTGTATAACTGCAAAGTTAGGGCTTAAATAGGAAATTAATAAAATAAAACTACAACAGATGGCGCTTTAAAAGGATTTTCATTGCAATTAAGTTAAAATTTTCACTAAAAAATATTTTATGTGTTAATAAACGCCAATAACACAGTAATATCTAAGTACAAATCGATTTCTATGAATATATATTATTTCAGAATTAGTAATGATATGTTGATTAGAGATAGAATAAGATTTTTGCTGGATTATATTTAAATTTATTTATAGGTATAATATATTATATGGATAATGGGATATGTATTTTAACTTCAGCACCGTTATTAATTACTTAGCAGAATGTCTATTTACTCATTCTTACTAAGCATAAACTAGAATACTGTAACACAAACTGTATAATTACACTTTACAAAAAAATTTGAACACAATCACCGCAAAAAGTTTTTTCGATAGTTAAAGACGTTAAGTAGAAAAGGTACCATCCTATCTTACCTTCTCTAAATCAATATAAATTCACATATTACGAAAATGAAAACGGTATTGTGTAACACAAACATAAGTTTTGCTGATTTATTTTGACTATCTTTAATTAGTAAAAAAATCTAAAGGATTGCTATTAAATAGAATCTTTACAAATCAAATTACAAGAACATCCAATTTTAAAATACAAGATATTCTTAGAGCAAACTAATATATATATACTGTAATACTTTCGTGATGTATTTTTAACTTAGTATTAGATTTACTTACAAACTAATATGATATAATTTTTTTAGTTTTACCGGGCTTTAGACTCGAGAGGATAATATAACCATTTAAATTCATAGCCCTTCAGACCGTATTTCTCGTCTTTTTCTGTTTCAGGTTTTGGTACATCTTCAGACAGTAAATCAAGCACCTCTTGGGATATCTTAGGTCTAAAGCCTTTATCGTCTGCTATGTAATCGATCCTTGTTCTGATTCCATTTCGTCCTGTAACGTAATAGTATCCTTGTTTGACACCGTTCGAGTATCCTTCTTCAAAATGTGCTTGAAAACCTAAAGTGTAATTGAACGTGTAAAGAAGATGAACCATGTCGTTTTCGGTAAGACCGTTAGGTAATCCGTCTTTTTCTCCAGGGCGTTTGGAGAGAATGTCAGTATTCTTATCAACAATTTGGATTTGAGCGTATGTCAATGTCGGTTTCTCGTTGTTAGATTGATCATTTTCTGGTCTAATTTTATTGCCACTGGCTTGTCCGAATCTAGACTGTTCTCTTGGGCTCAGGCCATTGGAAGATTGATCTGGTTTTACATTGTACAGTTTAGGTGAACGAGATCCTACAACAACTCCAGTAGTAGTTTGACCTGCGTTAATACTATTAATCCCTTCATTAGCAGTACCGCCAGCGCTGTTACCCGTTTGTTCATTACGTGTTCCTCTTTGTTCATCCGAGCCCTGATTAAATGAATTAGGTGTTTTTGAATTTTGGTTGTTGAAAATATTACTATCAGATGATCCTTTGGAAGTTCCTAAGCCTTCAGCTGCAACATGTGGAGCACCGAATCCATTTTGATTTCCCTGTGAGGCCCCAAAACTGGTTTTTTGTCCCTGTGTGGCACCGAATCCATTTTGATTTCCTTGTGGTGCACCAAAGCTGATTTGTTGTCCCTGTGGAGCACCGAATTCATTTTGTTGTCCTTGTGGGGAATCAAAGCTATTCCGTAGTCCAGTTGGGTATTCTGGATTGTCTCCACCTTGGTTCGCTATTGTAGACAGAGCTTGGACAGGAGTTTGCTTAAAACCGTTTTGTGAGCCTCCACTACCACTCAGTGGTACGAAGCTTCCAGAAGCTCTTTGTGTTTGTTTATTATTTTGATATGTGTGGCTATTTTGTGCGTCAGGAGTTTGTTGGGTTCCTACATTTTGGGGATTGAATTGTTGACCTGGGAAGTTTTTGAAATTTCCTTGTTGAGGGTATTGTGAATCAGCATTGTTTTGTTTTACATTGTAAGTTGGCACTTGATTATTTTGTGCGGCCGATTTTGTGCCGCCAATTCCACCACTATTAAATGCTGGTATAGCAGATGCCGGAGCAACTGTAGAAGTTGTGGGCAGACTGCAATGCGAACAGGATTTAGCTGGTGGTTCTATAGATATAGCTTTGAGGGTGTTTTCTGGTTTTTGGGTGGGCGATTGAGTTGACGCTATAGCGTTTTGTGTGTTTGGTAATTGCAACGAGTGACCCTGTCTTTGCGATGTTGATTCTGCAATGAAAAATATTATTGAATGTATTGATACTGCATTACGAGATCTTTGAATTAGACATTAAATACTCTTTTGTATTTTTTATATATTTAAAACTAGATGTGATATTGGTGTTTTAAAATTGTAGGGAAAATTTTGGTCTTCTTCGAGTTGGTATCACTAATCTGCGTATTGTTTTCGCAAAGCAATCTTTTTTTATTTATTGCCTTTGTAGGCAGACGAGCATACGGCCCACCAGATGGTAATTGGTTACCGCCGCTCATGGACGTCAGCAATACCAGGAGTAGAGCGAAGCTGCTGCCTAATGAAATTTGCTAATTACCTCCCTAAAGTTTTTCTATTGACTTAAGGGCAACTTACGTGATTTCAAATGTATGTTCTTCATAGAAATTATTTTGAATCTTCCATTTTCATCAGTAGCGTACACTGTCACATGATATACATCATCGGCAGTGATGAATCCGAACTCTCCCATGATAATACCGTTCTTATCTGTAAGCGTAATTTTTAGATTACAATAATATAATAATAATAATAATAATTGGGAACAAATAACGTACAGTCATCCGGCTCCAATTATGGATTCCCTGTGTTATGGGTACTAGAGACTGACCAACATACTTAAATACGTTTAAATATATGTATACATATGTAGGAAATAAGCACCCAGACAAAGAGCAAACAAACTTGTTCAACATAGTATATCATTTCCGATGAATGATTATGCAAATCGAGCTTACAACCCTCGGCGCAACAGTATTATTTTTCCTACCTATTCTAGTAACCTCGAGGGGTTATTCTAAATTCACCGATCTAGTAGGTGTTCTCACGGGGCTCAAACCCGAGGGTGTTGCTAGCACTGGCTCTAGCAACAGCAGTGTTTCGCAGAATCTACCACCGGATCGGAAACGCGACCCACTGTGTAGATCCGGCGAGAAACTCAGTGGGCTGTGTCCATGGGTTAATTTACTCGTCGAGCACTTCGTCGCAAGCGATGGGTTCGGCGAGGACGGTGACCGGTGCTTGAGGTACCTGAAAGCATTAATGGATCAGGAGGATCCGTAATGACGTGCTTTGGGCGGCGTCGATGGTTTACCATTCGGTCCACAGGATCGGGTATGATTGGCGCAACATTCAGGGTCGCTAACTACTACTCGTACACCACCGAGTTAGTCTAACTACACAACAAATATTTATGTAAAGTTTTCGTTAAGTGATCATTTTCATCGTAAAAAACCCCCTCTATGAGCATCCTAAAGAATACGCAATTTATACAATTTTATAAAATTCGTATATTCGTATATAAGGAAGTAAAATTTTAAATTGCGAGTCGAATACTATTGACCGTAAAAAGGTTAAGCATCGACAGATTGACCGATGATTACTTTAATGTACATATTTATTGATCGAAGCTTGATAAGATTAATGAATTTAGTATTTAAGAGTATTATTTTATTTTATATTAAAAAGTTTCTCAATCAATATTTGTCCAATCGATCTTTGTTTATCGATGGAGCTTAGGAATTTTTTTTTTTAGGTATTAAGTATTACTAATGGCCTGGGGGCCTTTCCAGTTTCTGTCAGGCTCTGCCAAGAATCCAGGAAGTGTCTGATTAAACAAAACTTATAGTTGCTAAGAAAAATTCTCAGGTTCCATCACAATAAATTTGTTCTGTATCAAAAAAATCGGTTAATAAATTCATATGTTGATTGTAAAGATTAAAGTTTTTGAGAACTGGCATGTAGTTAGATTGGATACTCAAAGAAGTTAAGGGTTAGAATTATTACCTACTAACTTTCAATGACAATAGCATCTCGCCACTTTGAGAAGGCGGCATGACACGAAAACCATCTTGTTGTGGCCGCCGGAAATTCCGATCCTGCAGACCGAATGGTAAACAGTTGACGTCGCCCTAAACACGTCATTTCAGATCCTCCTAATCCACTAACAGTGCTTTTAGGTACCTCAAGCATCGGTCACGGTTTTCGTCGAACCCGTGGCTTGCGACGAAGGGTTCGGCGAGTAAATTAACCCACAGACACAGCCCACTGAGTTTCTCGCCGGATCTTCTCAGTGGGTGGCGTTTCCGATCCGGTGGTAGATTCTGCGAAGCACTGCGCCTGCTAGGGCTAGTGTTAGCAACACCTCCAGGTTTGAGCCCCGAGAGCTCACCTACACGCTAAGGTTACGCTGACGTAGCCTCTCAAGACTATCAGCTTAGGTACGAAAAAAAATTTGCATCTCAAAACAAAACACATTGTACCAACTACGAGTATATAATTTAATTATGTACCTGTTATTTTATTAAAATTCTAATAATAGTATATTTATGAATCACATATACATACATATTTATAAATTTTATGTCCCACTCCTAATTTACCCATATTCCTAGATACAAGACACAACGATACACACAATATGGTTATATGACTCTCTAACAGCAAAAATGACAAAACTGTTCTGGAACCATGAGACTTTTCCAGTAAATAATGGAATTGAGAGTCTACGTAGCTTAATAGATGATATAACATGGAAACAGAACAGAATGATGTCTTCTAATGATCTAGATAATCTGAAGCGTTCGAACAGTGAAAACGGCAATAGTATAACTCAGACAAAAGCAGTAAAACATGAAATGAGTCTAAAAAAGATATTAGGGGTGGTTAGGAACATGTCCTTGGCATTGTTTATAGCCTTGGTGATCAATGAGCACCTTACGAGTTGTGAGATCTGTCATTACAATAATAAAAAAAAACAGAATTTAAGATTAAAAAGATTTTGGTAATAAATGGAGTTGTCTTTGTGTTCGGATACAAAACGTAAATAGTGATTAAATGCGTGTTGAAACGGATGCAAGATTCTATAAACTTATGGTTTTTCATAAACATTTTGGATGCATTCGCTAAGTCAATTTGTAACGGAACAGAATCTGTTGATCTGTTGTATTCACAGATTCATGAATTAATCTTACTTCGATTAGTCTCGGATTTTTGTCGTTTTTAGTCCCACCCAGAATTATTGAATCTGCTACGATAAAGTAGAACGACGTACATTGTATCTTACCTACGGAACTGAGCATACAGAGAAGATAGAAAAGATCACCGTGTAAATATTATTAAATAAATTCTACCGAATAATATTAGATACATTATTAAAAAATAAACTACAAAGAATTATTGTAATGAATTCAAAAATTCAATAAACAGAAATGAAGATAATTAACTCTAATAAAAAAATATATATTTATAGTTAGACAAGAAAAAAAACCAAATAAGCTTCGTATATTATTTTATATGAATTCATTATGGAAATTTTGTGTAGTCGCCATTGGGTTTTATAGCTGATTTGAAGTTATCATTAGCCATTATCTTTTGGTGATAATAAAAAGACAAAATATTGTGATCGTCACATTTAAATTAATAACGGAGGATGAATTTTCAATAGGCAATTTTACGTAATTTAATTTAATGACCTATGAAGAACAATACGCTATTGAGGTCATATTTAGATTGTAATTATAATTTTTTAATTGCTCATGACATTTCAGGTAACACCGAATTGTTTGCCAATCACGGAATCATTAATAAATTCCAGAAAAAGTGGCTCGTATCTTATGTGTATACAATGACTGATGATAGGAGTCATACCGTATCTAATTACATGATATCTTTTGTCAAAAAATTACAAAGTATAATTTAAAAAAATACGGTATAGATAATTTAATTTAAACTAGAGGTCCCGCAGTAGTCGAAATTCGACTATAATTAATTGGAATTGTAAATTTGTACACTATTATGATTGTATTTTATACTTCTATAATCACAAATTTCGCCAAGACTACACTATAAAAATATTAAGAAAGACAATCAATATTTATTCTATTCTCAATTTTACAACAGACGTGAAGAACAAAAGTTTGACAATAAATAGTATGCATGCGTGTGTGCGTCAAATACATGGTATGTAGTATGTGTAATGTTTTCTTTATTGATTTAATGTATCTTTTAAGCATTATTTAAAAAAAAAATTGCATTGTGCACTTGTTCTCTATGTTCTCTATAAGTGTGGAAAATTTCATACTCTTCCGTCCGCGCAATTTTCGTAAAAAGGGATACAAAGTTTTTGCTTCACGTATTAATATATAGATAGACAGAACTAAACATTAACTCATAACACACCTGGTTTTAATTGGAGACCAGTGCAAAAGGTACAGATTGATAGCTGAATCTTAGACGGGTAGATACAGTTTAACATTTTGCCTTTTCTGCCGCGTAGCAATCATGCGTACCAGTTTCAAAGATAAATAATTATTAGGAGCTTAATCACACATCTTAAGGTAGGTGTCGGCATTTACGTTGTGATGTGTGTGGAGCCTACTTAACATCCCAAAAATAAATGTTTGTTTTATTTGTTACCGTAACTTTAAATGACTAATATAAAACTAAGCTTAAATAATTATAAGCCGCATTGAGTAAATGTATTCCACACACGGTATTTTATTCTAGCAGCCCATACTTCTAGACATAGGCTTCCCCCAAGCCTAGGTACAAAGATCGGTCCTGCGCTGCTTGCATCCAGCGTATCCCCGCGAACCTCAATAGGTCGTTGGTCCATTTTTTTTATTGCTTAGACGGGTGGACGAGCTCACAGCCCACCTGGTGTTAAGTGGTTACTGGAGCTCATAGACATCTATAACGTAAATGCGCCACCCACCTAATATAAGTTCTAAGGTCTCAGTATAGTTACAACGGCTGCCCCAACCTTCAAAGCGAAACGCATTACTGGTTCACGGCAGAAATAGGTAGGGTGGTGGTACCTACCCGCACGGACTCACAAGAGGTCCTACCACCAGTAAAATCTTGTGGAAGGCCTACCCACGCTACGTCACATACGATGTACTTAAGTGGATTACCTTTCTTTTCGTGTCTATGCTGCTGCCCGTCAATGGTGAAACCGAATTCGTACGGTCTTTTCTCATCAGTATATTTGTCGGCTCCTTCTGCTTGGAGTAATATGCATGTAGCAATCACCACAATAATATTAATATTTCTGAGTAGATCCATCTGTAAATATTGTTTTATTAGATTAGGAATGGTAACTTTACCCTACAGATCCAAAAACGTCAGACGTACTGACGTTTAAAGAATACATATTACACTTGTTTGGTGTGTGTACCTGGTTTAGTGTTTTATCAAAAATAATAATAGCGTGCATAGATTCGTGATCAACAAATTCTTAAGCGTAACTTAACGTACTTGTTTGAGCAGTACAAGAAAAAGTTAAATTAACGCCTATCGTATGTAATACAGTTTGATGTACATATTTCCGTGATGCATGACATAATGCTAATTACATCCGTGACGTAACTGCAGATCAATAAATTTGAAGCACTCGACAAATATATTTTCAAATAAAACTTAACCGAAATGCGGATGTGCGATCGGTAGATGCCGCCTGGTCGCTTCTGTTTATTTTAATTAGCACAGACCAAAGCGGGATAAATCACCTTTTATTATCACGTCTCACAATATTTCTTAGTTGCAACGGGAGTAACAGAATTATTTAACAGTACACATCACTTATGTTTGCATTCGGTAACGTGACATTGTTGACTCGACCGTGAATACAGTAATATGTAATTATTATTGTGAAACTAAATTATTCAAATTTGTTACTTCAAGTGAACACACTTCACGTTATTATATTTTGTGTAGTTAAATAAACTGCTACTTTAGTCAAAGCTAGAGTGCAACGTACATAATGTTAAAATTATGAAGCATTTGTAAATGTATTTCTAGATCGCATTAACTACCTTAGCGCATTAGTCATTGAAAGAACATAACGCTCAAGCTTTGAATTGAATGCAACTAAAAATCTATTTTCAGTGACTTAAATAGGAAACGATATTTTAATTTTTTTTTATGTTATATATACTTTGGAAATGGTTTATCACTAAAATACAATTGTAAATCTATGTTCCTAAAAGTTATCTGAAAATTATAAAAATTATTAATAACCGATAAATCATTATTAACCGATTTTTTATAAGCGTTAAACAATTGATTTGTTAAACAATTCGGAGTCACATTTCACCTACAATTCACACATACACACAATTCACCTACAGTGCATTGATGTTATGCCAGAAAATTTACTGAAATACCATTAAAAAAAGTTCCTCAGCGCGGACTTAGATAGTGAATTAAGTAATTTCACTGTCGTTAAATTGTGTTGTCTTATCAAATGATTTAAACGTCAAGCTGTAAGCTAACAATACGTTGTATTGTTTTTATCTAAATTAATACAAATTTTTGACGAAGCATGTTGCTGATAACTTTATTTCTGTAATCTGACGAAGCATGTTGCGGATAATAACATGTGCTTTTAGGTTAGGACTATTGTGTTCTTTTTTTTTATAATAAATAAATTAATATTAGACACAAAAAAAATTATTTTTTTTTTAATACAATCTCTTAGTCTGTTTACATCGTGTAGCGTTCATTATTGAAGATCGCTTTTTTTATAAGAAATAATATTTCGTTTCGGTTCATTTACGACATTTATTGCTTCTAAATGAATCGGATACATCAAATGAACGCTAAATTTTTTGTGAACAACTTTTTTAAACATAATATAACAGTTGATATTCGTTACGTCGAGTTGATTAAATCTAAAATCTCTAATTGACCGTTTTTATTTAACAATCTTATTTACCCAAAAGCAAGGAAATAATCAAACTTGTATCGAACAGAAAATACGAGTGCGAACGTATTCACGACCGGCTTGGTCTTCAGAAATTATTGGGATCACTAGTACAACGTGAATATCTCTCTACCCTTCTTCAGACATGAGGTTAGAGTCTCATGTTTAAACCGAAACCGAAACCCTTTAAACCGAAGCCTACCTATACCCGCTTCGTGTCAGAATCTATAGACCCTTGTCTTTGAGTGCAGGCAAACACAAAATATCCTGCCACCACAAAACCAGAGTTTTTCTATTAAAAAAATTAATGTAAATGATAAACAAAACGAGTAAATAAAATATTCACAGATGTTTTACAAAAAGACCTTTGCAAACAGAATAAATATTTTATCGCTAATTTCAAACGCGATTGATGGATATTTTAATCAAAATGAATTTGTCAATTGTATGTGATTGATTTATGTGGAGAATTACTTCTTTTATAACCCGACACGACGAATATGACCCTCAGATTACCGGTAATCTGACACCACTGTCAAAGACATACCAAAAAACGTGAAAGTGTTTAATGTTTTTTACTATACGAATCAATGGGTAATTTGTTTCGGTTTTTTTTTGTATCAATATTTCAAATTTTTTAATTTCAACGGTTATTACATAAAAAGTGTGGGTAAATGTCGCGTTGATATTTTGATTTGATATTTTTTGTTACCCAAAACTTACTGTGTTGGATAGTGTGTATAATTGGCTACATTTTTATTTGATTCATGATCAATAAAATGAAAGGAAGTGGGTTTTTCAATGTTACTAAAATTTTTAGATTTAACACCAAAAAAAATGAACTTTAGGTTGAGGCTTAAATAGCGCATATCACTATTCAGTATAGACGACCTACCTGTTCTCAAATAGTTACCGTAGGCCACTGTATTTTTATTTTTTATTTTTTTTATTGCTTATGTGGATGGACGAGCTCACAGCCCACCTGATGTTAAGTGGTTACTGGAGCCCATAGACATCAACAATGTACTTTAAGTTTACATGTAATTAAACTTGAAATTTTTTTTTGGTTTAGATGACCTTTTGGTAGTAATCAAACTGTTATTAAAATATTTGTAAAAACTTCTAAAATACATTTTTTTGAGTAGTTACATTATATTTTGATCATTTATTGAAACTATTTATTTATTTCTTGGATTTTGAAGAATAATTGTTTTTAATAAATGAAAATACGATAAAAATATATTCCGCAATCATCGTTTCCATTCTTTGTGACAATACAAATGATTATTTTATATTCTTCGCTAAATTTATTTACGAACAAAGCTTTCCAATTTTATTTTGAAAATAAATTCTATTACCGCTTACTGGTACTATTTTATAAAAGACGAAATATTTTATTTTTCATAGAAAGCCATTAATATTGTTTAAGTTTGCACAAATATGCCCGGAATTCAATGTTTTCGTATTGCTATATGTTACTGCGTATATGTTACTCTATTCTACTATTGTTATAAATTACGAGAACTTATTAATAACGTAATAAGTACGATTATATACGGGTTCGAATCCCGCCAAGGGAATATATTTGTATGATAAATATAAATGTCTTTTCCAGGGTTACGGATGTATATTAAATATATGTATGTGTATTATAAAAATCATACATTTATATCCGTTTTCTGGTACCTGTAACACAAGTTCTTTACGAACTTATCACGGGACCAGTTAACGTGGCGTGATTGTTAGTAAATATTTATTTATTTATATTTATTTATTTATATTAAAATTATGTATATTTTCAATGAATACGATTACTCACTTTGACGTTTATTGGAACGCTATCCTGCCGGCCTGTTCCGCGGCCCGTTGCGCAAGAGTTAGAACGAGACTGTGCCGTTCGCATGGATCACATAATTTATTAATACGTTTGCATAGAACATACAAGCGGATCAGAAGCACACAGATGTGCTATACCTATCGAACGAGTACGTGCCTTGAAGGCTTAATACGACGGTAATGATGTGTTTCACTTTACGTAAAAAAAAAAAATTCAACGTCTCGATGTACTGTTTTCTTTATGTTTTGCAAAACATGCGTGACGTAATATAAAATTTTTGAAAAGTTCTTTGCGGTATATTAATGTGATTTTTTTATACTATAATAAAAGCTCCGAACACTTTTGCTGATTACAATAAGATTTATGGTTCATAAAGCATGTGTTTATATTGACGAAACGAGTTCTTTAGTTTCATTATCGTTTGAATGTGATACCCAGCAAAGGCTTCCGTTTAGTTTAAAAGTAATTAAACAGTTAATCGAAGTCACCAGTAAATATTAATCACTTTAATATGTAACAGAAATGAGCAGACAAGTTTTCTGATCACACGCATACAGATAAACAGCTTTCGGAGCCTATAGACAGCTCGATATAAATTCAATTGACTAACTTGAGACATGCAATTAACGTTTTAATTGTATAGGTGATCTATCTGGTGTCAAATGGTTAACGGAAGCCTTGAAGTTATAAGGTGGGTGATGCCCCCCATCCAGAGGCATGAGGTTTAGGTCTCAATTTTATAGTATTCTTCTTCTCCTTACAGTGCCTCTTCAATCCTGAAGGTTGGCCGTTAGCTTCCTATATTCATTTCTATCAGCAGCCAGCCGGAACAGCTGTTCGACAGAGGCAATACCGGTCCATTCCGCGATATTCCGGAGCCATGGCTTCTTTCTTCGCCCAGCACGTCTCTTTCCGTCCACTTTGCCCATCATTATCAACTGCAGCAGCATGTATCTATCGTTCCTGAGCACGTGTCCGAGATATTCGATCTTGCGCTTTTTGATAGAAGGCAACATTTTCCGGGACATATGAACGCGCTGAAGCACGGTTTCGTTCCTGACCCTCTTATTTTATAGTATAGAGGCTGCCAAAACTCTTCGAACGAAGGAGTGCTTCAGGGCAGAAATAGGCAAGAAGGTAGTCTTATCTATGTGTGCTTAAAACACGGCTTAGCATCGTTGAAAAGAAGACATACGAATCGTTCCACTAATTGAGTCGTCTATTATCAACGGTGGCAATCTGTGCATTTGGACAAAAAAAATTTATTGATATGTCAATACAGATTGATTTGAATATAATCGTCTCCTTCAAAGAATACGGTTTAAAACCTGCATTAAATAAAGGTTAATACTTAACCTGTTATTTATCTAAGATGTCGTTCCGAAGAGTTTTGTCAATGGAATACAAAGTCAATAATTCGTTTTTTTGATTTACCAATAATTGTCCAAAAGTCAGATTGCCGGCTTTGATAATAGTCGACTCAATTGTTTGCTTTCATCAAAGCCGTGCCACGTTTGTTTAATTATTCACTCACACATGACGTGAACGAGAGCGGCATGAACGTTTGTTTCGTTTGGATTAATCCTTACGAGTTTCATGTTCAATTAAATATTACTTTTTACGGTTTCTGAGCTTCCGTTTATCAATAAGCGTAGGTACTGTACTTTTGATGTATCTTAAGGACTAAACGCTCTTTTTCTCATTTAAATCGAGTTGTTAGGTAACTATTCTTCTAGAACTTAATTAAGTTGGTTATTTAATCGTAATTATAAAACCAATATATAAAACATTGAGTCCTGTTATATACCGAGATGTTTTTAAATTTTATTTATTGTTTATTTATTTATTATTTGCTGCGGTGTGAGGGAGTTAGAGTTCAACGAGCTTTGTTGAGTCCTCACAATAACATTGCACGTATTACAATTTGTGCGCATTAATATTCGTTCAATAGAGCATTTATAGTTTTAAAAACAGAGATGATAATTGTAATTCAATTGTTTCTTTATGTTAATAACCATGCTATTGAGCGGTTCCAGCAGTTCATAGTTACTAAAAGCACATCGTCACCGAAATTTTGATAATACTGCCCGTGCTTAGAATATTTTTTAACTCTTTGTATACGTTTCTCCTTTAATCAGGGAAGTTAAGGAATTAAGCATCCAAAGTGTTTAATTTGGAAATTCAACGGTCTGTTTACACGCATCATAATGTTCAAAACAATTATGACGAAGTCTTTCACTGTTCGGGCAACTTATCCTAGATTTTTAATTTATTTATTGCCCGAGGCAGGAAGACGATCGTACGGCCCATCTGATGGTAAGTGGTTACCGTCGCTCATGGACGTCAGCAATGCCAGGGGCAGAGCCAAGCCGCTCTTATTTACCGCTTAATATTCTCCACAAGCCTCTTTGAATAAGGACATGATTCCGCCTATACCGCCTATTTCCGTGGTGAAACCGCCTTTCTGTTTGAAGGGTTCAAAGAGTTATTTTACAATCCGGGCGGTTTGACGCGCCATCAACGACGTTGGTCATCGACAATTGTCTCGAGACTCGCCACTCTTTCAAGAGTAAAGCGATTAGGAATGGAGAATAGTAAAAAAATATAAAAAAATAAGATAATTGCACTAGGCCTTTTTTTCATTGAAAGCAACGGCGCGAAATACTCGTAAGAAAAGTCACGCGAAATAAGTTTAAATCTAAAATATGTTGACTAGTCGTGCGTTCGGGTTTGAAAGGAGGATAATTATTGAACAAAATAAATTGTGACTTCGATTTCATGTGTGGTTGGGGCATCGTCTATAAGCTTTAGCATACACTGAACAGCACGTGAATTGTGTGTTATGTCCATAGACAATAAAAATAACATGATAAACATTTTTATGGATTTATGGGAGACAGCACAGCCTTGTAAATACTATGTAACACACTTAATATATCAAATGATCAGATAAGCAGTCCGTCCATATCATGTCAACTGGAAGGGATAAACACTAAAATAGTAATGTTTACTACCAATAGCAGAAAAATAAAAGTAATATAGTACTCAAGCGACTTGGACTCCAAGAATGTTTGCACATTAGTTTTTTACGTTATCCTGCTTAAAATCTTAGCTTTGTTGTGGTTTTAATTAAGTATCTTTTATTTTGTTCATAAAAATAATTGTATATTTTATTACCTATACTTGCGGTAGAGTCGTAAATTAGTTACAAACAAAGATTATATCGCAATTAATTGTTTTATAAATGCCATTATTAAAAACAGAATATTTTAAATGTTGCTTTCCGAGGTCTGAGAAGTTGCTTGAGATTATTTTGTTAAGTCCCTAATTATTATTATACATTTTGCGTAGTTATTGGTGGTAGGGGGTGGTGGCTTTGTATAATAACTGAGACTTAAAACTCATTTCTCAAGATGGGTGGCATCATTTACGTTGCTGATGTCCATGGTGTTCACTAACCACTTAAAATCAGGTGGATCGTGAGCTCGTCCACCCATCTCAGCAATTAAAAAAACATTGTATCAGCCCTAATATATCCATAACCATATCCACATTCGAACTTCTTATTCACTAGGTTCCAATTAACGCAGGCATGAACTTCTTTCTTCATTCTTGAAAATTACATGATATGGCCATTTCAAGCCATGTTTTAAAAGAATACTTAATGGTAGACAATATAGCTGCTTTTATTCACTGTTAGCATTCACGAGTGCTCCATCCATTAACGGTGCTTTTAGGTACCACAAGTACCGGTCACCATCCTCGTCGAACCCGTCGCTTGCGACGAAGTGCTGGACGAGTGAATTAATCCACAGACACAGCCCACTGAGTTTCTCGCCGGATCATCTCAGTGAGTCGCGTTTCCGATCCGGTGGTAGATTCTGCGAAGCACTGCTCTTGCTAGGGCCAGTGTTAGCAACACTCCGGCTTGAGCCCCGTGAGCTCACATACACGTAAGGGCGAAACTGATATAGCCTCTCAAGGCTATCAGAATAGGTAGGAAAAAAAAAGAGTGCCACATACGTAGACATTTTTTTTCCTTTATTAGGCACTCAATATACATTACAAGCTAAAAAGATACACAATAAAAAACAACAAGTAAAAAATGCGCACTAAACAAGACAAATGTGCTACGTTTGTACACAAAGTTCCTTACAAACAACACAATAACGAAAACTAATCTAACTAATAATGCAAGGAAATAATTTTACTCCCAATTTATTTTAAACAATTACACTACTTAATCTACTATTGACATGGATGATGCCTTGTATCATTTTAGTATTTTAGGCTACGTAAAAAACCTAGTTTTTACTCATGAAAACCAAATACACGCACTCTAATTGACAAAGGTCAAAACTTGAGTGTTAAATGTTTATTTTACAATTACCGCTATAATCAAGGTTCTATTCCGACCGATCAATGAACATCATTCACAGGTGCAGTAAACCAATCATTTATCTACGTTGCAACAGAGGATTAGAAATGAAAGTAGCTCTTAAATCCGAAGAGATTGGGTTGAAATTAGTATCGTTCCTTTCGTTCAATTTTCAGAGTTCATTAACGCGACCTCCCATGCATATTTGCCTTAATGTTTTTATTGTGTTTTGTTATCAGGCCTGTCGTAAATGATAATTTATAAAATAAGTTCTGTAAATTCTGTGTAATCCATGTGTAATGGTTACGTAATTTTTTAGAAGCCATTTCTTTATTGCCTTTTTAGGCAGACGAGCTTGCAGCCCACTTGATGGTAAGTAGTCACCGTTGTTTATGGATATTAGCAGTTGCCAGTGAACGATGAAGCCGCTGCTTATTGTTAAGGATTCTTTTCAAACGTTAATAGAAGAATGGCATGTCATAAGGCTCGGGAAACAAGATAGAGACAACTTTATTTTAAAACCAAATGGTATGCAACAACAAAATATTTCTCGAAATATACGGTGGACATTTTTAATAAACAGGGAGAATAAATTTGCAATGAGTAAAATTCGAAAAAGTAACTTTTTTTTTTTTTTTTTTTTTTTTTTTTTTTTTTTTTTTTTTTTTTTTTTTTTTTTTTTTTTTTT